AAAGGAACTGTACATCCAAATTGCAGACCAAACAAGCACGAGTTACACGATAATCTTGATTCAAATAGCATGAAATAGTACTTAATGAAAATTTTCACTTTTGGCATATTATCTCCATTATAGAGAAAAAAAAATAATGGGAAGAAGATAAATAATTTGAGAAGTATGATTAAGATAAAAAAAAATAAGTGTATTAGTCACAATTGATTTGATTTAAAAATATAAGTTGAAAAAAATGATGATAGATAGAAGAAAATGTAACGACTAAAATTGAGTAAAAAGAAAGAAAAAAAGAAACAAAAACTCAAAGCCTTTCACACACTCACTCACTTAAAAGACCCGAAAAAGTTGATGGTGTCCTCGAGAGCTTTAACGAAATAATCCACATCCTCTTTCGTGTTGTAGAAATAAAGACTCGCCCGAGCACTAGCGTTCACCCCCAAATAACGGTGAAGGGGCTGAGCACAATGGTGGCCTGATCTAATTGCCACACTATGCTGCCGAAAGGAAAAAAAAATAAAAAAATAGAAGCTAAATGCAAAAAGATTTCACGCGTCTAATCATAGATGATATATACTTTTAAAAAAATAGAAAACAAATTGTCGACGACAAATTTCATTCCTATTTTATTAAATATAGCATCATTGTGCATACCTGTTGGTCGAGAAAAGTGGCTATGTCCGTTGGATGAATGTCATCTACATTGAACGAACAAAGAGCAGCTCTGTTCACTGTTTTTGAAGGCGGTGGGCCATAGACATGAACGCCAGGTAGTGAAGAGAGTCTATCGTGCAAGTAGTTTGCTAGCTCTACCTGGAAAAGGCAAGGGAGCCAAATGGGAAAAAAAAATGCCTAATTAATTTGTTAACGGTACTTGGTTATGCATCAAATCAGACTAATTTACATCCTATGAATGAGATTTGTTTAGACACAAATTTAAGAAATCCAAGCAAACATTGTAGAAATCCAGATACCCGCCTAATCAGAAGGATGAGGTGCACTCAAATCACAAACATATGGAAGTGCGAATTGAAAAATTCTGTCATGAGCTATCGGTTAAAACAGATAAAAGAATAAAACGTTATACTATAATGAAGGGCTAAAATTACCAAGATTTAAGGTGACGTTTGCAAAGACAAACAACGATATTTCCCATAAACAACTCATTTCTTGAGACGTAAAAACAGTGGAAATTGTGATCTAAATTTACCTCATAAGCATGAATCTTTTGCATTCCAATGCCTGATAAATAATCAATTGCTGCCCCTAATCCAATCGCTTCCCCAATTGCTGGTGTTCCAGCTTCAAATCTATGCTCATAAGGAAGTAACAAGAGAACAACAATCACCAAACTCACTTAAGAACAAAATAAACAGCAAAGAATACAAAGCATGGAAACCAATTTCATTCAATCATTTTCACAGGTACTTAATATGAGATACTGACCTCGATGGAGGTTCAGCATAGGTTGAGTGTTCAAAATACACATCGGAGATCATTTCACCACCACCTGAGAATAATGTCATAAACATCTCATAAGTTCACTGTAAAATGTAGTGAAGGATTTCTTATTATTTCTACTCAGTATGTATAAAACTCAAAGTGTGCTTATTAGACTTCTTTCAGATTCAGAAGCCAGACAGAATAAAACGACTGATCAAAAAGGAAAATAGAATAAAACATGGAAGAAATGCAAAAGAAGAGAACTCACCCAAGAAAGGAGGCATGGCAGACAAGAGCTCACTTTTACCGTATAAAAAACCAACGCCTGTAGGCCCACACATCTGAAGCATGATTATTTTTCACTTCAAATTCTCACTAAGATACTTGAGAGTTGAAGCATAATGGAAATGACTTCACCTTATGGGAAGAAGCAACCAAAAAATCAGCATCAAGGCTCTTCACATCAACCACCATATGAGGAACACTTTGACAAGCATCGACAAGCACTTTTGCGCCAACTTCATGTGCCCAACTTACAATTTGTTCAATTGGAAGAACAGAAGCTGCAGGAGAAGAAGAGGAAAAGGTGCACCTACATAAGATTTTCGGGAAGTTCTAACCTGGAAAAACACCTTAGGTACCCCAAAACATTTGTTTTTTGTTGAGTATACGCATTGAGCACTTTGTGTTTCTAATTTATATTCTTGTATGTATCTCAACACAGTGTCGTTTTCAATCAACATCAAAAGTCAAATAATGACATGGAAAGAAAACTAAAATCACTTAAAACATGAATTTCATACACCAAAGGAAAAAGGTGGTGGTTCCTTCCTTTCAAGAAGTGAACAAAGGAAAATTGAACAAGGGACGCTAAAGCAATTTCCATTAAATCACTGAAGCTCTTGAAAATGGTAATTTTTCACTCACCAAGTACATTCGAGACATGGTGAACAACAATAAGTTTTGTCCAACTCGAGATTGTTTCCCTCAATTTCTCTACGTCCGGAACTTCATCTTCTGTTAAAGTTACAAACTTTAAAACTGCACCTGTCTTTTGAGCAACAAGTTGCCAAGGAACAATGGCACTGTGATGTTCAGCTACTGTAAGTATGACCTGAAATCCATGAATTAAACAAGATAATTTTCGAATGTCCTTGGTGAGTGATTTCCATCAAATAAGCATTGACACCCTTCATTATCTACAACTACTGTAAGCATTGAGCTATACACTTCGTAAAAACCACAAGTCGCACCCAAATAATTACACATACAACAACAGTAACAACATAGCCTTTAGTCCCAAGCAAGTCGGGGTAGGCTAGAGATGAAACCCAAGAGAAACACAAAAAGACTCGAACCGAAAGGAAGCAATCGAGAAAAAAAAAAACGAGAGAGAGAGAGAAAGGAGCAAAAGTCACGGTTCTGGCACGTTGATAGCGAGCCTCCAAGCGCTCCTATCCACAGTTAAATCCTTGGAGATATTCCAATCTTTAAGGTCTCTTTTAAGGTCTCTCTTAACCGACTCTTCCCAAGTGAGTTTATAAATAATTACACATAGATTTATAAAAATAATTTTCAATCAATCAGCAACACTGCTGGACATTCTTCATTATCTACAACTATACACTCAGTAAAAACCCCAAGTCGCACCCAATTCAACTTAAATTTTAAATCATCAATGATTCCACTATGAACTAAACTGCAAAAATTAAACAAGATCATGCCTCGTCTCCTTTCTTCAGATTCGTGAGGCCCCAACTGTAAGCCACCAAGTTGATAGCCTCGGTAGCATTTCTCGTAAACACAATCTCCCTACACTCTGTAGCATTTACGAAATTCGCAACCTTCTGCCTCGCTAGTTCGTATTCATCCGTTGCCTTGGCGCTACACACACATACGAACAACAAAACTTGTAAACAAACACAAAGACGACAAATGAACAGCCTATACCTACAGAAAGACTCCATTTTCCAGCCTTTCATACACACACACCCTAACTAAATCACCTCAAATAATGAATCCCACGATGCACGTTCGAGTTGTAAGCTTCGTAATAGCTCCGCAGAGCATTCAGCACAGCTTCAGGCTTCTGCGACGTGGCAGCGTTGTCCAGGTACACGATCCTTTTCCCATTAAGCTCCTGCATAAAAAAATCACAACTTATACTGAAAAAATGTCCGAATCTTTTTACGCTCTTCTTCAATGAAATGGAAAGCTAGATACGAAAATCAAGAGGAGGGGAAAAACGGGCGTGCCTGGCGGAGGATGGGGAAATCGGGTCGGGTTAGATGGCCGAGGGATCCGGGCCCGAGCTGGGGGTCGGTGGATAGGGAAGCTGGAGCCGAGGCGGACGCGGAAGCTACGGAGCGGAGCGTGTGGTTCGTACGGTTCGGATTGGTCTTGAAAATTCGAGCAGAAGGGGGAAGCTTGAGGACGACGGCCTCCATTGTTATCATCTTGCCGACTACAGTAATGTGTGAGAACGAATAATAATATTAATAATAAATAAATGAATAAATACTAGATGATAATGTGTTTGGGGAAATGGCCTAGGAATAATTTTGTGAAATCTGCTGTTGGAGTTGGGACAATTTTTTTTGAAAAAAAAAAAAACTATATCTATATATATGGGTGATTTTTCTTAATAATAATAATAATAAATAAATTCTAGATGTGAATGAATGTGGTTGGAAAAAAGGCCTAATTCATGGAATGATCCGGTGAAATCTGCTGTTGGGGCAAATTTATTTATTTTTATTAAATTCTATGTATCTGTGATGTTTCTTGAATTTATTTCTTGTTTTTATTTTCTATCTTTAATATAATAATTATTATTTGTCATGATATTTTGGTGAGAGATTTAGCAGGTTTGGAAAAGGGAAATTACGACTGTTTTTTTATTGATTTGATGTTGTAGATTGATTTTTTTATTTCGATTTACTAATTAAGAAGTTAAAGATATATTTTATGTAAACTAATAAATAGAACGTATTTTCCAATTTCCATTTAGCAATATGATATTTCCACGTGCATCACGAGCGGATAACGTGGACCAAAGTACATTTTACAATTTATTGAAAAAAAATAAAAAACTTTATTCATGAGTTTGTGTGTCATTTAACCGTTACAAACAAAATACAAACACCACACATATGGGAGAGATGTTTTATCAAATGATGAGGTGGATATAATGTGAATTTATTAAAGAGATGTTTTAACAACTCAGAGTCAAAGACTGTAACTATAGAATTTTACCAATATCAGTCAGGATCGCATGATATGATCAACAGCAGATTCTATTTTAATCAGCCGCTTAATCGAACCCCTCAATTTCAGATGCTTAAAAAATATGAGCAAAAACATCGACTCAGCATCACAACCTATTGGCTGAACCACCCCTCATTATATTTTTCACAACCAACATCAGAGTCCCTCGATCTGCTCTTTGGCATTAGGCATAACATGCATACGATCAAAAATTTATCTGTAAAGCTTTGAGAAAGCAAATTATCCAAAACACAAATGCAAAACACGCATCACTTATTTTGAGCACACAAACATCCAAGTTCGATGTTGAATAAAATGTACGAAAATGCAGAAAGCGCAGCTAAAATGAACCTCACACACGATAACAAAGTGATTCCTTTGAGCGAAATCACCTAAGGGGTATTACTGAATGAAGTAAAGCAGAAAAGGCTGTATTAGGTGTCATAACAAAAACAAAAGTGCAAATATCCATTTATTTCGCCAACATCTTGCAAGATAAGAAAAAGGGAGGCACAAGCATTGTTTTGATTAGCCTTCCAGTGCTGATGCTCCAGATATGATCTCAATGAGTTCAGTCGTGATGGATGCTTGACGAGTTCTGATAAGTAAGCACAAGTAAACCCAGTCATATTGTAAATTATACTACCTCCTATTCTTTTTAAATGTCATTTTGGCTTTATTAATTTTTTACCAAATAAATGTTGTTTTGGATCTTTTGTACGTATTTTTCCATTATTACCCTCATTTAGCTAATAACTACACTATGTCTTTTCATATTCACTATTCATTTTTTCTCAAAACATCATTCTCTATCTTCATTAAAGAGGGTTATTCTTGGCAAAAAAAATATTCTTAATTACTGTGCAACTTCCTAAAACAACACTTATTATGAATAGGAGGGAGTAATAATAATAATAATAATAATAAATAAAAGAAGGCATGCAAATAAGTGGAGCCCATGTGTTGTGTGTGTGCACGAGCACGCAAGTGTGTGTGTGAGAGAGAGAGAGAGAGCAGGTCACATTTGTAGTGGGAGAAAAAGATGAAACCTGTTATAAGTGAGAGTGAGACGATCAAGCATATCACCCGCATTCCTGCTGGAACTATCCATGGCAGACATCCTAGCACCTTGCTCACTGCATGCATTTTCTAGGACTGCATTGAACATCACCTGAACCACAAACATAATCCAAACCTTCTTCATTTCATATCTTGACTCAATGAATGCATAAAATGATAGGGAATAAAACCTACACAAGAAAACTGAAACTCGGAGAGATTCTGAAGCACTTCCGACTTAGATTCACCACCTTCAATTTCATAGTTATCCAGTTCCCCGAGTTTTCCACCAGCCTCAGATTCTCTCTCTATAATCTACATCAGCATCATATCCATCAGTATCATCACAAAAGCTCGCATTACCAAACTCATGCCTAAAAATGTCAGACAAAGACCTCAGGAGATAACACAGTAGATGTCGTTGGCACAAATGACACCACCGAATGGAACTTATTATACACGATCCTTAATGCATCATACTCGACATTCTTCAGGATGTCATCTGCAAGCACAGAAACCTGAAATGGAAGATGCAATAGAACTTTTAAATATCCACCAAGGGGATTTCTGGAAGAAAACTAATTTGGACATATTCGTGCACAAATATAATAAACTCCAGTAGTTTCGATGAAATAAAAACCAACACCATTTCTAAAACCTTTTGTCCTATAATCATTATGGAATTGGAATAGGTGTTCATGTATCATTTTTCCAGGCACAGGCCTCCAAAACCACCTGTGTATAGTTCAGAGGATTCTTCTGCAACTCTGTAATCGCTAGCAGGATGTCATTTTTCGAGTCCCGCACAAGTTGAGCCTTCGCCTTTTCTCCAAGAATGACATACTTACACTCCTTTTCAGGACCTGCAGAACACAACAATGAAAACCAATTACGTGCCAAAATGAGGAATAGGAGGTGATGCATAAGAAAACACAAGGCACATAGCCCAGGACATTAGAAATGTACCAGAATTCAACTTATGGAGACCCCTGCTTATCTTGACAGCTGTAGAATTGATGCCACCACAAAGACCTTTGTCCGAAGAGATCGTAACAATGACATTTTTCTTGACATCAACGCCTGATCCATTAAATTACACACTGGTAAGAGCAAAAATAATAATGAACTTCTTTTTCCGTGAAAACGAGGAGACTTCGAAACCAAATTCTAACTGCCCAAAAACAAAATAAAAGCGAAAGTAAATAGCACACTCTGGCAACAAATAAAATGGATATAAACCTAACATAAATTGCCAAAAAAAAAGGAAAAGACAAATATTATCAGCTCGTATAAGCAATCTCAGATTAGCAGTAGCTGCAATTTCTTATCCAATTAATAATACAAATATTCTCCTCTTCTGGGCAACAATGCTATAAAAGGAACAGTATTATATAACTACACCTAAATAGTCAACCTCAATCAAACCCCCTGTGAAATGGAAACAGGGATATTACATGTTCAAAATTCTGCATAAGAAATTGTTAAAAAAATGAGTCACGGATACTTCTGGAGTCTCCTGTACAGTTCAACATGCAGAAAATGTTTGTGCTTCCAGTAGCAAAGTTGTTCTGAATTGACTGAATTTCTAGCATTTACCTCATTCCCCGTAGAAATATTTGGATGCCAACCTAAGTCAACTAGCAGACGCCATATCATTTTAAAATGTATATATGATGTGCGAACACACTCTTCAAATGGACCAAGAAAAGCATAAATCAATAAACCATGGCAGAATGACCCGCAACTTAAAAGAGCAAAATTTCCAGAAACCACGTCTAAGGGAGAGTAAAGTAAGATACAACTTTGCGATCAACTCACTTGGAATGTCACCAAGAAGAGCAGTGAATGGCTGCCATAGTCCACGTGAATTTTCAGCTTTTGTTTGGATGGCTCGGAGCTTTGAAGCTGCAACCATCTTCATTGCCTTCGTGATTTTCTGAATATTTCTGACACTCTTCATTCGATTGCGGACTAAATATTTCAAGCATTAGGACAAAAATCATTTTCAGAATAAGCACAACAAGCGGACAAAAAGACAGGGTACGCATAAATAACTGAGAAACAAGTCCATGCTACGCTAGGAATATATCTCACCAACTTGAGTTGAAATGGAACGAACTCCAAAAACAGCATGCTCCCTGTTGATATAAACTGACGTTTTAGAGGCTGACAACGGTAAACAAACATGGCAAAGGAAACCACAACCTTTGCTAAAGTGCACAAGGACTGAAGATATCAAACACACCAGAACATCTCTCAAGAATACAATGATATGCGATCAATTTGTTAAGTTCGGCTTCACAAGGAGAACTTCATAGTATAAAAGTGGAATTTGCTTTTGAGTAGTTCGACACAAAAATGAATTCAGGAACTTGATTCTCAAAAGGATATAAGCAAAAATTACTCATGGCAATTCTTATCCAAATACACTCTGCTTTTCCACATTTTTTTTCTTTTTTTTTTCACACCAAAATAATGTAAAATTTCTTTTGAGATATACCAACACTACACACCACCCAGCAGATGAGCGCCGCTCCAATGCAGATCAATACCCTTCATCTCCCGTTTTTTTACAAATATGCCCTTCTCTGTTAGTACTGTATAAGTGACCGAACAGTATTAAGTCACCTTAACCAATCCTTAGCTAAATGCCTAAGAGACATTACCAAATAATTGTAAACCACTTCATTTTGGATATCCACTTTGCATCCTGAGTTAACAAAAACCATGAAACCATATATGACCCAGAATTTCATTTGATGAAACGTGAAGCTCAACTAGTGGTTGTTGAATCAATTAGTAGAAAATGAAATATGAAAAAATGAATATGAGGCACTGTACTCTGTAGAATCTGCTTATTTAGAAATGGCTTGAGTTCAATAATCAAATTTCATCTTTTAATCTCAATACTTATTCAAAGAAGTTTGAACAATAGCATATCCTTCACTGATATCATTAACACCTGCAAACAAATCCAAGAAAATACAAGCTGCCTAATTTCGGGGGTAAAGGAATAAACAAACAGGAAAATGATGTAAAGAATGTGCAACGGAAATCCCTGTGAAATTCTCCAGGGAAGCTGTTTCATGCTCTAACCTTTGCAGCCATAAAACAAAATAAACAAAATTCCAATAAAACGATGGACGGAATATACAGAGATACAAAACCCAATCGCCTGATGCGAGTTTCCAATCGAAACACGAGCAACAAATTGAAAATCAAACTCTGGGATGCACAGAAGTCCAATCGCCGAACAAAAGAAAACAATTCAAAATCATAAACTCCGACAAAAGATCATGATACTAAATGAAACGTAAGATGGGCAGATCATATCTTACTCGTAAGAAACCGGAGTGGATTGGATAGGGTAAACTGGGCGCGGGGCCAAGAGAGGAGCGGCCATTCGCCTTCCCTCGCGTCTCAGTGCAGCCATCGCCATTTTCAGCTGGATTTGATTCGATCTCACTCACAGTATGAATATCTTCTTCGCAGTGTAGATGGATTAGGGTTTGCTGAAAGGTGCTCAGAAATGGATTACAGTGCTTTTACCTGGCCTCACGGCTCACTGGATGCTGGAAAAAACATTACACAATAAAATTAAAAGGAAACAACAAAAATAAATAAATAAATAAAAAATAAAAAAAAAATCAATATTTGTGCCCAAAGTATTACATTTTTAAAATTTAATCATTAGAAAAAATAAATTAATGATTGTTTATTATTATGAACAATTGTTTATTATCATTAAATAATAGCAGTTTGATTATTATTATTATTATTACAAAAACAATTGTTTATAAGATTCTAAGTTGTTTGACTATGCTATTAAAAAAATTTACTAATTATTTTTAAAGAATTTTTTTCATGAGATACAAAAGAAAAAAAGATAATATTGATGTTAAAATAAATAACTTGAAACAATTGTTTATAATTATGTAATTTATATTTATTGTGAATTATTATTAGTTGGTATTAACAATAATTATAATATAATGTAATAAAAAAATATGATTACACTCAATAGGATGTATTAATGTGAGAAATAAAAAATATTAATGATAAATTTTGTAATCGAAAATGGAAGAAAAATTTTAGAGGTTTTATTAAATAGGTTTTCTTAAATGCTATTAGCTAGTAATTATATATATATATATAGATATAGATTAGACTATTACATATCATAAAAATTAAAATCAATATTAATATTCTATTTTTACACTAAATAATATTTTTTATTTATACAATTTATTATTGTTGTTATTATTATTTATTGTTTTAATTCATACGATTTATCACCTCTCGCAACGTGAAGTAAGATTTTATTTTATTTTATATATATTTTTTGTTTTGCTGGGTTAGCGATTGCCAAACAACAACAAATAATAACCCCCAACCATATGACACGTGGGGCACACTGGAATCTCCTCCAAACTGAAATTAACTGGTAAAACCCTAGACCTCATAGCTTGCAGAGTAACATCCATGGCCGTCGACCACCCCATTGCCGCCGGCCGTTCGGACCACAATCAGTTTTTAGGTAGAGCTCACTCCAGCTGGAAGGGATTGTTTGATGTGCAAAATGTTCAATTTTTCTTCTTTGTTAATTTCCTAAAGATTCTTGATTAATTTAAAGAACCATAGAGTTGATAGGCTAATTACCATCCTGCATTTTGTAGTGTGGAGGGAATTTCTTTGGGGCGCAATTGCAGGTGCTTTCGGCGAAGGGATGATGCACCCTGTCGACACCATAAAAACACGCATTCAAAGCCAAGCTATTTTCAGCGGTGGCAAGGTTTCTGCACTAAAAATTTCGATAATAACAAAATCAATTTGTATCACACGATAAGTTTTAATAGTTCCCTTTATATTGATTTAACTGGGATGATTCGTTACCTTCTTGATTTTTAGCATCAGAGTAGTGCAAGACAATTGGTACGAGCTGTTTGGACTACAGATGGTTTGCAAGGTAAACGACCCTTTTGTTTGTAGAATGACTTTTCCATATGTGTTGTTCGATAAGTTTCTCATTTGTCATTTCTGTTATGTGCATGATCATGTTAATTGTTTTATAGGCCTTTACAGAGGGATCACACCAGGAATAATGGGGTCTCTAGCTACTGGAGCTACATATTTTGGAGTAATAGAGTCCACCAAGAAATGGATGGACGAATCTTACCCTAATATTGGGGGTCACTGGGCACATTTCATATCTGGAGCCTTAGGTAATCTTATGAACTTCCTTTGTGTTTGTTTTATGTCGCACTTTATTGGGCACTGCCACATTTTTCTGGGTCTTTCAACTTTTCTTGCCGATTTTGATGTGGCAATTCCTTGTTTGATCATGTATAGTATCTGAGAGTTTGTGTATATATGCTGTTCAGGAGATACACTTGGCTCTGTTATATATGTTCCTTGTGAAGTGATGAAACAACGCATGCAAGTTCAGGGCTCCAAACAATACTGGACATCTGTTGTGGCGAAAAAAGGTTCTCATGTCAATCATGGAATGCCTGTGTATGGGTACTACACTGGAATGTTTCAGGCTGGATGTTCGATATGGAAGGAACAAGGCATGAAGGGACTATATGCAGGGTATATTGTTATAGTTGAGCAAAGTAGTACATCTTTGCTAAATATTACAATTGAAAATGCTGTACACTTTTGATAGATGATCTACTCAGTTTCCTCATATGATGAAAAATCCCATTTATCCTTTCAATAATACTGAGGATTGAGTGTTTCAAGATGTCTTGTTGCAGATACTGGTCCACGCTTGCAAGGGATGTGCCATTTGCTGGCCTTATGGTATCATTTTTTTTTTTTTTTCTATCAGTATTAATGTGTTGATACTTTTCTTTTCAACCTACCATTAGTAATTGGGGCTGCCTTAGTTCTATTTTTATGACAACTACACAGCGGTATAAGCTCCTCTTTATAATCTCAACATTATGTGATTACTTGCAGAGTGTGGGAGTCAATGTGTAATTTATTTCCAATGTACCTTTGTCACCACGAGTCTTCTGCAGTAATGATTATAAAATCTAACTGAAAATGTAGACCTATCTCTTGCGCTCATCAATTTGTTGTTGACAAAAAACAGGCATCTGGGCTTTTCACCAAAAATCCAGTGTCATTGTCTAGTACAGTAGAGCTTTCATAACACCCGTATAATGTTTTCTTGTTTACACATTTCAGGTTACTTTCTATGAAGCTTTTAAGAATGTGGCTCAGTATGGGAAACACAAATTACTCCGCAACTCAAACTTTCAAACTAATAGTTCTTTTGAGGGGCTCGTATTAGGAGGGCTAGCTGGTGGTACGTACACTGCCTTTTCAACTATTTAAATTTTCCTGGATTTCAGTCAACTGGACATAGTTATCATAATTTGTATGCTTTTATATTCAATTTATTATATATTCCAGGTTTGAGCGCGTATCTCACTACTCCCCTGGATGTTGTCAAAACAAGATTGCAAGTACAAGGGACAGTGACTCGGTATGAGCACTGTGACATTTACCTTTAAATTGAAAACACGTTCAGTTTCCAATTCCATAGCTGCAAAGTACTGTCAGTCTTGAATCCAGAAAGACAAGGCACAGCTGTTTCTTTTGATATTATTATATTCATTTTCCAGAAAGTAAATGCTTTTGTGTGAGAAATGTGGCGGGTCGAATAGCCTGACTGTTAGGCAGCTTCACAGAAGTCTATGTGTTAAAGCTATAAGTCATTTGATAATTCAAATTCTTTGATAGAGATACACATATATATTGCAATTTTTATACGTATTTATTTATTTTTTGACAGGTATAATGGATGGTTGGATGCTCTTTGTAAGGTATGGTATGCTGAAGGAGTAAAAGGGATGTTCAGAGGTGGCGTCCCCAGACTCATGTGGTATATTCCAGCATCGGCTCTCACTTTCATGGCTGTAGAATTTCTCAGAGATCAACATCATAAAGTGACGAGCATATCAATTGACCAAAAAAAGGAGTCACCCTTGCAAGAGATTTCCTGAAATAGTGGCATCTATTTCCTATTTGCTCTGTTTGTTAGGAGCCATTGTATAGCACGACTCGAGTAGGATTATTGCATTTTTACCAATCATGTTTTAAATTTTTGTAATTGGATTTCTAGGAACATGCATAAAGAATTTTGTTAGCCAAAGAAATTTGAAATTATTGACAATTTTAATTTTCTATCTCGTAAGGAGCAGATTTTATGATCTATCAGGTTGATCCTTTGCAAGGATTATCATTATCATACATTTGAACAAACTCCTACAGGTACTGACATTATACAGTTATTTTTGCTCTTCTTATCCGTTTGAACTCGCTTTGTAGAAATCTCCTACATTATGTTTGATTGTTGAAATTTACAAGTACATGTATCAGTGTGGAACAAGATGAGTATTTTGTGGTATAGTTTAAAATATTTGCATTCGAGGACTGTAATAGCTCCTACATTATGTTTGATTGTTGAAATTTACAAGTACATGTATCAGTGTGGAACAAGATGAGTATTTTGTGGTATAGTTTAAAATATTTGCATTCGAGGACTGTAATTCCAGTGCAATTTAATGCTTCTTCAGATTTACAACTCCCCTGTTTATTCTTGAACATTATTTACAGGCTACTAATCACAGCAATGAATTATAACTATAAAGTTAGAAGCTTTGTGTTAATATCTTGCTTTTGGTCCAGTGGTAAGATTAGAAACAGAAGCACTTGACTGGAGTTTTTCCAGTTGATCTAATTTTCCTTGCTTTCTCCTTCACAATAAACTCTTCATGTTTTCGTTTCTCCTCAAGTTGTGCCTTTGCGCCACGTGCTATATGATCAATCCTGGCTATCTTGTTATAGTAGTGTTTCAAGTTTCTTGATTTTCTCTGCTCAAGTTCTTTCTGCAATAACAATATAACAACTTGTAACTAAATCAATCTTGTGTCTTAACTTTCCTCTAGGTAAGAAGTGGATACAGAAAAGGCAAAAACCTTTTTCCTCTCCATTTCATGTTTCTCTCTCAGTTTCTTCTCATTTTCCCAAGCTATAATCTCCGATTGCATCTTTTCGTACCTGGAATTAACGAGAGCCGAATTGTAATCATCACGACATTTTCTTGAATTTAAATGTAAAAAAAATAGCATAAATTTATAAAAAAATCTAGTTCTCTCTTGTGTTATGTGCATTTTTGAATGTCTATTTCATACTGATACATATCTTGTACCGTTTTCGAATCTTTTCTATTTGAGCTTTCTCCCAAGCATTAGCTTTGGCCTCTGAACTTGCGAGTCCCATTGAAGCTGGCTTCAGTCTGTGGTCCTCAGGTAAAGAGCCAGTCGGCCGACCAATAGATGGATTCTTATCAGTAGCTTTTGTTGCAGATGGCATCCTCGAAGAGCCTTCACACCAAAAGGGTTTGGTTGAGAGAGAGAGAGAGAGAGAGAGAGAGAGAGAGAGAGTTCTACCTCCTTGTAGTGGCCTAAAGGGGTCATTTCTTTGGCTATTTTCCTTTGAATTTTGAGCCAGGGAATGTATGGCATATGCAGAAGCAGCAACTGCAGTTGCAAACTCAGTCTCGTCTGAGTCATAGCTACGTCGTATCATTGGGGCTGAAAATGTTTTGCCGGGAACTACTGTTTTCTTGCAACCTCTTTTGCCTGCAAAAAAAAAAATCAACAAACAGCAACTCACATTCATCAATGCATATTACATTAATCTCCTTAACTTTAGCTATATGATCATCAAATCTCAAAAGGGTTTGTGGCAATTCTTGATCTTCTCCGAGTTTCTCCTAAAATGCATATATACGATGAAGATAGTATTTGTAATAATCCGTGATAAACAACGATTGACTATTCTTGCATTTCAGTTTTTCAGTTAAAGAAAACCGGCGAAAATGTGTGAAGAACGTTTGGAATGCATCGGATGAACAATTTTCTTACCTATCTAATCGAAGGCCGTTATGAACAGTGAGGAGTACTTTCGTCGAGCCAAAAAACAACCCCATATTTATGTGCATGAAGTTTTTTGCATGTACATTTGAAAAGGCTAAATTGCTGAAAAAGCAATGAGCTTTTTTATTCTTTCCCTGTAGCCTTTGGTTTTCTTCATCTCAGATGCCTTTAGTCCCTAATCATTCAAGCCACCTCTCAAATTTCTTCTTCTGGCGTAGTTTAAACCAGTTCAAGCCACCTCTAAATTTTCATTTTTAGGCATAGTTTAAACCAAAATATCAAACTTAAGTGTGTGCTTTAGGTGGAAGCTTGTGCACATAATTTTTGGATTCCTTTTGCCATATATCATCCTAGAATGCATATGGTATTTGGGATGCTTTATTCACAACCTTAAGTTACATGTTTTCATAGAAATATGGTCAAAAAATCATCATTTGTTTCTCAAGGAAATACACACCTTTCCATTAACCAATTAACAGTGCATTTACCTTAAAAAAATGCTTTAGAGAAAATATGTGGGTATACAAATGAGATGGACAAGACACGGCACAGAGAACATAAAATAAAATAAAATAAAATAAAATAAAAAATAGCTAGATTTTGACTTGTATTTATCATATTTATGATAATATAAAATAGATAAAACGAAAACGATGTGATAACACGATTTGCCACCCCCAAACATAAGGAACCATTAGCACACCAAAAGAAAATTGATCATCCACATCAAGGGCCAATCATCATCAGTTTCAGAAAATCAGACAAATTTTTCAACCAACAATGCAAATCTCAGCACCTCGAGTCATTGAGAACTATACATCACAGTACTAATCATATTATATCAGGATTCAAGATGCCCACAAACTGTTTTCAAAGATTGGCAGTCCTTAAAACGAAAAACTAGCAACCTCTTCGTCATCTTCGTCTATCTCATCACTAGCTTGCATTTCCTCATCTTCTTCACTGAACTTCCCATAGTCCTCTTCCTGTGTTTCATCGTCATCATCAACATCGTCCTTCAAACCTGTGCTCAACACCACAGTCTCTCCACGGGACTTGTCCAAATCTCTCCTCAGCTTCTCCATGCTTTCCTTTCTCCTTTCTTCTTCCAGCCGTTGCTTCTCTGCCCGTCTCTTGTCAAGATCAGCCCTGCAACACACACACACACAATAATGGTGAGATCTGTTACTGCATTATGATCACATACAGTGTTTTTCCAACGTTTTAAGTTGTCTTAGTTTTTTACAGTTCAATTTTAAGTTTCTTAGCATTTCCTTTTTGTACAATTGTCTGTTTTTGGTACGAGAATGTGTTCGTCTCATTATTATGTATGTGGTATAGGAAGAAGTGAGCTAACTTGTAAGTTTCCATGTACTCATCAGCACTGGCTTCAATGGCCTTGAAGAAGGCATCCATTCCAGCCCCAGTGACTGCAGAAACTCCGACGGATCTAAGATTCATATAGAATTCCTCCAAAGCCAGCGAGAGGCTACGGGTCAGAGTTGATGTGTAAGAATGATCAGAATCCAATGCCGCATGAAATACCTCAAAATCTTNAAAAAAAAAAAAATGAAAAAAAGAAACCTGTTTACTTCACTGAATAAACAATAAAAACAAAACAAAGATGTTCTCAAGAGACTTCATTACAGGAATGTACATAAAATAAATATATAAATAAATAAACAAAGAGTGGAGAACAAAGAACAGAAAAAAGTTAACAATGAAATTATATATACAGGAGGAAAAGAAAAGAGTTCCAGAAAGGCAGACATAAAATTAAAAGAAACTTTGATACACGAAACACCTGTGTAATGCAGAAAATAAATATAACCAAACCTCCAGGGCAAAGTCATGTTGCGCTACATCCGTCTTGTTGAATACTAACACTAGTGGCAATCGAGTCTTGTAAAGGATGCTACAAGCATACAACATGTTGCTCATGAAGGTAGCTGGATTTGCTGAACGTGGTGTATCAACAACATAAGCAATTACGGTGGGAAATGTTGATGCAAAAGCCTCGGTAATAATAGCCCCAGATGCAGACCAAGTGAAAATTTCAATTTGTCCGGGCGTGTCAACCAAAACATAGTCAAGCTGATCTGCACGCCTCTCGACCATAGATATGACCTAAAGTTTTCAAGAATAATCAAGCCAAAACCCACCTTTCTCCTATTAAAGTCTGTGACAGGCACAGCAAGATAAGGAGACAGTATACACAGTACTACTAAGAATTAAATTAATGACGGTGACATGGAAAAAGCCAACTTTTCACTAATGTAAGAGCAGTTAAAATTTACAGAGCCTAGAATTTGCTTATCATCAGCGTCCTAGTTTTAATTACTTAGAATTCAGAAGTGGAGACAAGGACATAGTGACATTAGTAGCAACATATTTACGTATCTACACACACACACACACACACAAACGGATACAAAGGTATTATTTGGTGCAAACAAGATAAAAGGTACTGCTCTGAAGTTAAAATAACCACACGAGGCCAATTCACTGCGGTTCATTTTTT